TGTATACACACACACACACACACACACACACACACATATATATATATATAAGTATATTCAGAAATTTGCAGCATTATTTTCAGCTTTTAAAAAACTGTTATAATGGTTGCATTTCTAAAGCCATAATTATATCCCACAATGCATTTAATTAACAAACTAAAAAGTGGCATGAATTACTGTATTTAGGTTGATTCAGTGATGCTACTGTAAATAACATTTTTGATTTAAATAATATCAGTTAGATGTTACCTTTTTTAATGTACTTAAACATTATTCATATTTTATCTTTAAAGTGACTTACAAATAAGGACAATGGAATCTTTATTTATTACTTTATCAAACTGAAAAAAAACAACAACATAGAATGACCTTATTTGTCAGTATAGAGAATGCAGTTTGTGTGTGTGTGTGTGTGTGTGTGTGTGTGTTATTTTTCAGATTAGACATTTATTACTCAGCTATATATCATTTTGAATAATGGAGCTTGCTGTATTATTATTTTCCTCAAAAGTGATTGATCAAAGCCAGACCTGTAAAAGAGATTTTCTTCATTAGCTTTTAACATGGAATCATATGGTGAGCAGAAAGGGTGATTACAGCCTCAGTAAAAACAGATTGTCATTTCAGTTTTTCATTTAAGTATGGAAATGTTGCTCTTCCTGTAGTGGCAGGATGTGGCTGCATGCGGAGACAGTTGCGCCTGAGAGGACCCTAATTCATTTAAGACATGACTTGGTGCCTGCATACGAAACCGGGACAGCTGAGTTTCCTTCTCGGTGCTCCATCATACGATATATCTCTCCACATAAGAGCACAATCTGCTGTTCCTGAGCCTGGCTTTACCCACAGAAGCTCTCGCAAGTCCTCGGCTGTCAAGAAAATTCACTTTATCATTCAGCCATATAAATCATTGCAGGCTCCACAGGAAATCAAAAAAGTTTGACTTTCCAGTCATAAACCATAAAATCTGTCATTAATATAATAACATGCATTGGGATATTTGGAAACAGGGCTAAATGAATACCAGACCTGGGCATCGATAAAACGGTTTGGCTTGCAACATTGGGCAGGATTGCGCCGTCGTTTTCCAAAATACATTATCGGAAATAATAGGTATAATGTCACCGGGGCTATATGTCACTCATCATGGGAGCTCTCTGGAAACATGATTTGACCGGTTTGCATTACCAGTTCATTAGTTCTCAATTAACACTCAAAAGGTTTATAGGGCTGTTTCTTTGACGAGAAACATGTCTTTGCTCCTCTGCGACTGGCTGAGGCTCAAGATGGAGTTTCTTTCCAAATATTTCACATTTTAGTGTTTGGCTCAATCCTATGGAAAAAGGCTGTTTTGCATGAATATTTGGCATGCTGCTGAACTCTGTCCATCATATGCAAGTCGATCTTCGCTGAGACGCTCACTTGTATTGAGTGGCCTTTGACAGGTTAGATGGAAGATAACTCGAGACTCCTGGCAATAACCTATAGATTTAACAATGAGATCTATTGTTCATCTGGTAGCTGTCCATGGTACTGATAAGAGAGCCATTTGGTCCACAACTACCTTGATTATCATTTGGTGGGTTTGAGTGTAATTTGACCAAAACTACTCTGAAGTTTCTTAACAAGACAGTACAGGCAACCTTGTTGTTTTTTCATGCACTGGTCAATTCTGGGCTTTTTGGCTTTACATTATGTGTTGTTTCAGATTAGTGGAAAGAAAACATCCAAAATACACTTGCAAGTGTTTATTTTATTGCACTTTATCGATTTGCATCTGTATATTTCAAATATAATACATATCTTCACAGGCCATTATCTCAAAATGAGTTATTTCTCATGCACTGAGCAAGAAATTTCATCTTCAGTAGCACTTACTAAACTTTTCAGTTTTATCTATATTCTTCAGGTGTGGTTGCCGGAATTTTACCGTAAAAAATACGGTAGCAACGTTTTAGGTTTTACGGTTTTAACTTAGATTTACAGTTAAATACCGTAACCGTCTCTTCAGACTATAGTGCGGTGAAGGCCAGTGTCATGATTAATGTTTTTTAATCTTTTCAACGCCTGGTGTATTTTGTGTTATGGACCATCATTGTTGAGGAGCTATTTTTGCAGCAGAGGAGGAAGGGCACGGGGCCACAAGAGCACATATTCATGAGATAAATCTGCCATGTTGCATTGTGAGTAAACTGTACGGTAAACAGTAGCAATCTGGTTTCCCTCCTGTGACCTTATGCTTAAAAAGACTCAATCTGAGACTTAAAAGGATAGTTAAAAATCTAAATTGTGTCATTATTTACTCATCATTATGCCGTTCCAAACCCATGCATGCTTTCTGTGGAACACAAAAGATATTTTGAAGAATGTGTCAATGTTTTTTGACCATACAATGAAAGCCAATGGGGTCCAAGTTTGTTTGGGCCCCAGCGTTCTTCAAAATATCTTCTGTTTTGCAGAAGAAAATCAGTTTTGGAATGCCACAAGGGTGAAGTTCGCTTAGCGTTCACAATGTAATTTTGAACACCCAACCTAAAGATACCAAACATAGGGCATAAGGATACGGCCACAACCTGAACAACTTTTGTGACATATATTTTTTTCTGAACTTATCAGACATCCAAAACCATGCTGTGTGCTGGACTGAATTTGCTTGTTATATGTATACATGTGGTATTTTTACCCGCTTATAACTCATAAAGACCTTATAAAATCCTTTAAAATTCCTCCGTTGCACGCATGGAGATTTTCTGCAAGGAGAAAGCAGTTCTGACGTGTGTACCAAACTATAATGGGCAACATAGATGCAACATGCATCTTTTACACCTTTATATACAGTGGGTACCCCCCCCCCCCCCCCCCTTCAAATAATCACATTTTGTTGCTTTGCAGCCTGAAATGAAGACGGATACAGATTTTGTTTTATCCAGCTGCATATCCCAACATATCTAATACATAATTAAAGCAAAAAGTGGTTCAACAAAATACTGACACAAAATACTGACCTTTTCCAACTCATTGATTCTGTTTTTTTTTCTGACATGTTGGTGTTATATCTTTCACTTGGTTATAAGTTACGCTGAGTAAATACAGCTGGATAAAACAAAAACTTTGACTTTGGAACTGTCTGGAGACAACTTTATCGAGGTTTTTTATGCAATGATCATGAATCTTATTTGGATTATTTATTGGCCTTTACACTCTCTTTTTATGATTATATGAATTAGTATTTGCAAGGACAGCACAGAGCTCATGATGAGCAATGGGTCAATCTCTCTCCAAAAAAACAAAATTAAAATACAGCAATGATATTAAAGCACTAGATGGCACAGCTGAGCTAATGTGACTGTATCTGGAACTCCTCATGGTGTTAAATCCCATTAAAAACAACACTGAGATGACTCTGCGTTCATTACCAAAGTATTGACTATAAAATAACCTTAAGCTACTGGATGAGAACAAAACTGACACTACTTGATTAGAAATGAATTTAACTGGATCACACTATTGTCTTCGGTAAAGCTGCTTTTGAAGTCGTGTTAATTTTGAAGAGCTTTAACAACATTGACAGTTATTGAATGAAATTGAATCAACATGAAACTCAGTTGATTTGAATATTGACACTATTGTCTTCTTTAAAGTTGCTTTATAGATGGGTAGAAGTTCGATGAACTTTGTTCTATGTTCACTATCAGCTGAAATTAAAGTCATTGTATAATTGTTGATTTGTATTTATTTTTTGGAACAACATAAGATTGTGTAAATGATCAAATTTTCATTTTTGGATGGACTATTCCTTTGAATTATTATTTTCATTAGATTTTGTTTTAAGCAGAAACTTCACTAAATTGAGCTTTATTTGTGCATAAACCTAATACTATTTGTTAAAGGTGTAGGAAAACAAAACAACAACAAACTAAATTAAAATGTGTGACTTTGCTTTTCAGGTATATTTAGCTTGTTTAAAAGATGTTTAGATTTTGCCTTTTCTTTAGTGCCCTAACACAGACTGTTTGCAGACAGAGTGAAGTTTGTCTTGGGTTGTTTGACACAGAGGTGCTGACTGCTTTGTGGGTGGGTCTCTCTCCTTGTTTCTCTCTTGGTAAGACTAAGACAGTAATTGAAAGATTGACGTTAAAGGGAAAATCTGGGGGAGTTTTTCTTGACCAAGAACAATATGGTATCAGGTACAGCACCCTCTCAAATACTCAACACACCCAGCATTACTTCAGATTTCACTTCACCGTATTTAATGATGTACAGTGGGGTCCAAAAGTCTGAGAGCACACCGAAAACACTGGATTTAAAATCGAATTTAAATCTGGAAATATACAGAACAGATTTTTGATACATTTAAAACAAAGAAACATTCTGAACAATTTCTTTGTTATCCAGCCAGATTAAAGGAAAAGTTAACCCAAAAATGAAAATATGCTGAGAATTTACTAACCCTCAGGCCATTCAATATGTACATGAGTTTGTTTCTTCATCAGAACAGATTTGAAGAAATTTAGCATCACATCACCTGCTCACCAATGGATTCTCTGCAATAAATGGCTGTCGAATGAGAGTCCAAACAACTGATAAAAACATCACAATAATCCACACCACTCCAGTCCATCGAAAAATGTCTTGTAAAGTGAAAAGCTGTGTTTGTAAGAAACAAATCAGGCGTTTTACCGTCGTTTCTGGCCAAAATACAAGTCCATAATCCATAATAATGCTTGTAAACAGTGCTTGATCCGTGCATATTTCTTTCCTGATTCAGATGAGACTACTTTTTCACTGGAAAAAGAAAGCAATATTAAGGATTGAGGACCCGTGTTTTTGCCAGAAGCAATGTTTTGAAGTTAAAAACGTCTTAATAACGTATTTATTTATTAAACATGCAGCTTTTCACTTCACAATACAATAATTGATGGATTGGAGTCTTGTGGATTACTGTGATGTTTTTATCAGCTGTTTGGACTCTCATTCTGACGGCACCCATTCACTGCAGAGCATCCATTGGTGAGCAAGTGATGTAATGCTAAATTTCTCCAAAGGAAAAAACAAACTCATCTACATCTTGGATGGCCAGAGGGTGGGTACATTTTCAGCTAATTTTCAGTTTTGGGTGAACTACTCCTTTAAGGACCTTGTTGTCCCTGACTCATTAATTGCTGGATGCAGATCGGAACAACTAAAGTGTGAACATGAAACTTGCTTTTCTCACTCAGTTCATATTCATGGAAATCCCAGGAATGCTCCTTCAAGTAATGTGTAACAGTTCCAATTTAACAGACATCAGTACCAGAGAGACAAACGCAGCACTGAGGCCAGCCGTGCACTTCCAGAGCCATCCAAAGCAAATGTTGATCCAGACTTCGGTCCAAGTCAGTGCGTTCGACAGTAGTGCACAATCCCGGAGCTGCTTCCCAGCTTTCATCTCCAGCCAGGTATCTTCAAGGTTCATTGATAAGGCAATGAAACTGTATGTAAATGGAATAACCCGACGCATGGACTTCTGGCCATTAGTCTTCCCTAAAGCCCCAATGTGACTTTTAATCAACGTCAAACGGCGAAAAAGAGACAGAGGAGAAAGTTTAATGACGGAGATGATATATTTAAAGAGGAACAAAGTAATGCCAGGAAATTATGATAGAATACTACTTTTGAGATCATTGCAAAAATGTCTTTTTATTTCTCTTACAAAGAAAATTATTATAACAACATACAACAATAAAAAAAAGCCAATTTCTTTCACTGTTGTCATGATAATTTCCCTTAACCCCTTTTTCTATCCGTGGATAAAAGAGACCAGACTTCATAGGGAAGAAAAGTGAGATAATTTAAACACAGATGTGCAAAGGAAACAAAGCATGCAAGAACCAGAGACAAATTTGCTACAAATTGCCCTCAGTTAACCTGTCAGATAAATACTAATTTACAAAAGAAGAAATTAGATAATAATTCAACAAACTAGGGTGATGTATTTACCTCCTGTAATATACAACATGGTCTCTGAACGTTGTAAACATTTCGTACACTCACAGCTATTTCAACTAATAGGTAGACGCCCTGATTTGAAGCCGTGTGGCCGTCAGGATGGGATCACTGGGAATGCAGACCTGGATCCTGTGATGAATTCAAGCAACGGCCCTGATTTGAAGCAGCCAAAAATGAACCATGACTAGTCCTACCAGAGATCCAATACTGGACCACTGTTAAGGTAAAGAAGGTCAGAAACACATCCAACTCATGCTAAGAGCTTTGGTTTATTTGAATTGAATTGCTTAAATATGGGCTTTACAAGTCAAATAATAAGCATTGCTTCGAGGAAAGCTTTCAGTTGTTTGGTGAGGTCTGTATAGTTCCAACTGTAAGGCACTTGATAAATATAACTCTGTTAGACAATTGTTGGGTAAATCAATCTGTCGATGACTGGTGAACTAGGGGGAAAATGATGAAGCTAATTTGCACATTTCTGAGCTGATAATGAAGATTTTCATTAGCAAAACTGACAATGTACCACCATATCAATGGAATAAAATGTAGCTACACAACTAGTCAAAAGTTTGGGCTCAGTAAGATTTTTTAATGTTTTTGAAAGAAGTCTCTTTTTTATGAGCATTTATTTGAATTTAATTTTTTATAAAAAAAATTTCTATCTGAATATTTTTTAAAGTGTAATTTATTTCTGTGATGCAAAGCTGAATTTTCAGCATCATTACTTCAGTGTCACATGATCGTTTTTAAAAATCATTCTAATATGCTGATTTGCTGCTCAAAAACATGAATTATTATTATTATTATAAATGTTTAAAACATTTATAATAATACATCTTATAAACATTGAAAACTGAAAACGGAGTTGAAATATTGAAAAACTATTCATATGTTCATATATATTTTTAAAGGATTCTTTAAAGAATAAAAAATAACAGCATTTATTTGAAACAGATTTTTTTCATGTATACATGTAAATGTATTTACTGTCATTTTTGATCAACTTAATGCATCTTTGTTGAATATTAATCTCTTAAAGAATATTACTGACCCCCAACTTAAACTGAAGGTTTAAATACTATAAATACATTCCAAAAAAAAAAGGAAAAAGTAATTGAACACTAGTTGCATTGTTGCAACTGGTAATATAGTGCCATAACTGAGTATATTACCCCTCTTTTTTGAGGATATGAATTGCTCCAGTTATCAGGAAAAGAATATCGTGTACGACACATCCAGAACCTTCAATATTCCCCCACTGGAAACCTTTCCCAGCCACATTTGATAAAGCAACATAAAAGCTAAATAAATTATCCCAGCACATGCACATCAAAGAAAGCTTGATCGAGCACATTGGCAAACACTTTTGAGCATCCGTGGCTGTTTCTTTGGTTTAAAGCTTTAAAACAGTGAAAAAGCATTAAGTATCAAGCAATATTAACTGCTTACAAATGTAGTGTACTTAGACACAGAGACTCTATTTTGTTTTAAACGCATTCGACTTCAACATACAACTCTGTGTGATCAATTAAGGCACAGCAATTTAAATTACGTAGATGCTTTACAAAAATATTCCCTCTATGACTCAAGTTCCAAATACATTAATTAATCTATGGCTTTTATAAGTTACTTTAAATCCTTTGATCAAATACGTATAACTTAAATGCTTAACTTAAAAAAGCACAAAAAGAGATATCTGATCACAAACTGTCATACAGGTGTTGTTCAGTGCTTTAAATGATATATTCAAAACATGCCAAGACAAGTAAATAATAACAAAATGCTAATGAAACACTCGATCCATCTCTATTCCTTCAATTCCAAATAATCCCGCCTATGACAATGATTCCCAGAGGTCAAAAGGTCCAGAATAATGTATTACAACAACAAAGTCCAATGTAAAAAATACTTCCCTTTCAACAGGCTCATAAATACTCATGTTAGTGAGGGAAAGTAGCTCAGCGAGACAGGATGAACATCCTAGTAAGGTTTGTGCTTTAAAACCATGCCGTTCGTTTGGAGCTTCCACGCTCACGTATCTGTCTGATCAATATGGCCGCCACACGCCTTCGTCCATTCTACCAGCAGGATGAAGCAGAGTGGGGGAGTTGCTATGACTACCGTCTCCCTCCACCCCCCCACTTCCATCAGCCTGGACCGGGAGGTTTGGGTTGACCAGGCTGGTCCCCGTGGACGCGCTAGTACAAGGCGGCATCATCCGGGTGGGCGATCGGTCTCCTCCTGGAACCATAGAGAACTGGTAGGAGCCCGAGGAGGCTCCGTAGTAGAGATAAGGTGTTCTGCTGCTCTGGAAGGGTCCGCTTTGGCTCTGGGTGGAGCCGGGGTACGGCGGGGGAAGGTAGGTATGGTAGTGAGCGCTGCCGAGGGACATTCCGTTGGTGACGGGGGTGGGCGTGTACGTGAAGGTGGCTGGGTAGTGCATTCTGGGACTGGAAAATCGGCTCTCGGTGAGTGAGGAGAAAGCGGGGAACTGACGCTCAAACTGGCCAGGAAAAGGACTCAAATCTGTTGAACCTACAGAAACAAATGTTGAGGTTACTTATTATAGAAGTATGGAAGGATTGAAATACTATTGAAGACAGAAATTACAGCAATGAACAATCATAACAACAAAATTGAGTTATATTGAATTTTTTCCCCCACTTCATTTAACTACAACCCTGTTTAACCAAGAGCCAGTTGCATAAGCAAAGCCACTGTTAAAACTAGTTTGACCAACTACTAGTTAGCCGAGGGGTAATCAGTTACTCTTACTTTTTGGATTCAAATTAGACCAATCTACCTTTTTGTAACTGACTTTAAAGAGTTATGACCAGTTTTGAAGAAACAAAAAAATCATATCAATAACTTTTTAAGATTGTTTCTCATTGTTTCACTGTTATTTCACGTGAATTATTTTTTCTATTTTAATGTATTTATTTGTATTTGTATTTATTTGATAAAAATACACTAAAAACTGAAATATTATTACAATTAAAAAAAACTTTTCTATTTAAATATATTTTAAAATGTAATTTATTCCTGTGATGACAGCTGAATTTTCCGCATCATTACTCCAGTCTTCAGTGTCACATGATCCTTCAGAAATAATTTTAGTATGCTGATTTTCTGCTTAAGAAACTTAAAAAAAAAAAATATTATTAAATGTGAAAAACAGATGTGCTTCATAATTTTTGTGGAAACCACAATACACTGTTTTTTCAGGATTCTATGATAAATGAAAAGTTCAAAATAACATTTATTTGAAATACAAATATTTTGTAACATAAATGTTATATATTTAATGCATCCTTGCTGAATAAATGTATTAATGTCTTATAAAAGATATAACAATACATAAAATATAAAAATGAAAAAAGTTTTCACAAATCCTGTGCACTTTAAACTAGTTAAACTAAAAAAGTTAATCTAAATACCTAACCAAATTTAAATGACAGAATGTAGCTATTAAAAAACAACCATTAACATTAAATTAGAGACATGCAGAGGAGAAGAGTTTAACGATTAGCTGGCTTCACTTCATTGTGGTTTTTCCTCTTTGTCACAGACAAAGTTCATGTGTATGTGTATTCATGTGTGCG